TATATATATATATATATATATATATATAGCATAAGTGTGTGTGCTCCTATTGAAAAAATAGATTCTGTTATGATTACAAAAATAAGAATTCTTTTTATTTTTTTGTTTCAAGTTTTTATTTAAATTCTAGTTAGTTAACAGAAAGTGCAATATTAGTTTCAGAAGAGTTCATTTTAAAGTGCTACTGAATTTAAAAATAGCTCTTCCTTATTACGTATTCCCCCAAGCGTATACACTAAAAGTAGCATTTCTATTATGGAGAAGTCCAAAAACACTTTTAATGTGCGAGTGGCCTCACATTGATCTACTGCCAATCATACAGGGCCTCTGCATACGGCTGTATAGTTTACACACTGCAAAAAAAGCACGGGGTAAAGGAGCGAGTGGAAGCTTAGCGCCAGCCCCCATGTGCTTATCCGGCCACGAGCCCTGACAGCGAATCGACATCAGGTCAAGGATCACCCACAAGCCCAGTGTGCCCAGCACTGAATGGATGTTCCATATGTGCTAGCTTCAGCCTTGGAATCCTGCCTATAGAATTGTAGGTCTGAGACAGCGAAAACGGTGAACCCATTTTCACATCGCTTCTTTTCTCCTTATGTTTTCAAGGCGAAAGAGCCATGTAATCATGCCAGCATCCTGACCAAGCCTGACCCAAGAGCCTTCTGGACTGATGATTCAGGTATTATTGGCAAAATACACTCAGGCCCCGCGATGCACAGGAAGCATTCTGTAGTAAAGCCCTACCCAAAGGCAAGGTTTGGGGGGAAATTGTGTTTTGCTTGTTTGTTTGCTTATTTATTTGTTTGTTTATACCTAGTCTAACACTTGACTATACTTCACGATCAATTTTACATGTATGTATGTGTTACAAGTCCCTTTAATTTATCTTCTTGGTTAGTGTCTAAAGCACCTATATGATCAGGTGTAGCTTTATGGAGCGTGAAATACCTTCAAGTGTTGGGGGCAACTTAGGAATGAGTCTCTTTCCTGGAGTGGAGGACAGAGGTGAAGGATAAGGTGGGCAAGTACACTGGCCCAAGTTTCTCTTCCAGAGGAAGAAGAGGGTTAAAAAACCCATGGTGAGCCACACTTGAGACTACTTAATGGAGGGCGGGCATGACTTATCCTATCAATCCAGGAGTCTAAATCTACTCAGAATCAGAGGCATGCCACTTTCTGAGATCAGAGAATATGCTTCAGGTTGTGTAATTTAAAATTACCCTCAAAGAGTATGGGCCGTTCTTACGGGAAATAGAAGACACTTTTTTTTTTCCTTATTTTTATTCACCGTGGAGACACGAGGCCTAATTGCATGAGGCAAAGACCCACTAGAAATAACAGAAGAAAGTTAAGCCAAAGGAGCTAAAATACTTAAGAGAGTGTTACTAGAGCTTTCACCTTTTCTAATTAAATAGGATCTAATTAAATAGAGAGCAGGAGGAGAGTAGTGGAGACGATAGCTAATATTTGCATTAGGCCTCACGGCTTTATGAAGGAAGTGCGTTCACAAAAATCTAATAACGTGTGTGCGGCAGCCCTGTGAAATAGGAGGGGTGGCCTATCCTCACTGTCCCTGGGTGAGAGATAAAATCAGATCTTGAAAGAGGTTAGCCGACGTATCCAAAGCTCACCGCCAGAAAATACCAGGGCTGGGAGTAGGTCTGAGAGCCTGCTGGCCCAATTCTCTAACACGCTTCCTCAGAAGAAGAAACTGTCTTGTGAGAAACAACGTGGGTTAAACCCCCGCTTTAATCTTTTCTTTATAAAAGGGAGTGAGGGACTATGCCTATTAGCAGAAGCAGGACGGGAGTATAAAACTCTCTGATGCCTTTTTTCCAAAGACCAGGCTCATAGTCTAAACTGCCTATCAATATCGTCAGTGGAAAAAAAAAA